CTCCACCAATCTTTGGATMACAAGTATCTTGATCACTGATATCTTGTTCTCCTGGCAAGCTACCCACAATGCTCTGTCCATCATTGTTTGGTCACAGACCTTATTGTCCATCAGTCTGTTGAGCACAAACTCAAACACCTCTGTGGTGTTGTTAATGGAACGCTCCAAACTGTTGAATGAGTGTAAGGGCTTTGTAGAGAACTTGGCCAAATGGTCAAAGATCGCTCGGACTGTGTCCATCTTGCCACTCGTCATTGCTGTATCGATGGTAGTTTCTCGAAATTCATTGTCATTGTTGGTTGGTTTGACAAGTTTGGAGAGATAGATGATGCATTCTACATAGTTCCCTACTATGGCCTGATATAAATGATGAAAAGTGTAATACATATCTTCATTGCCATACTCATACTTTTGTGTGATTAGTTGCATTAGCTCCAGCGATCGACCTGCCGTTAACAATGAATTGATGGTTGGTGATCAAAGTGATTGTTGATGATGAATGTCTTGATCATTCCGACTGTCACATTGCCATTATCTAGCCTGTCCAAGAGTCCACTGAGTCGCAGAGGATGGTGTGTTTGACTGGCAATGAGCATGCCCATCTCGTGTGACATCGTGTCCAACATGGTGCACTCGTCTTCGCGCGTCCATTCATAGAGATCCCTGTGATCACACTCTTCCAGTATGAGTTTGGCATCACTAAGATTGTTACACTTGACTGCCTCCAACATTCTGCGGATGATGTGTGTTGGCTCTCGCTCTAATGGATGTATGACCCGACACTTGATTGCTGCTAAGGTTAGCTTGGGTTCTGCAGGGTTCAACGGGTGTTGTGGGTGGATTCTTCAAATATTTGTTTTGGAATCCAAGGTCCGACCCGTGATGACCCTTTGCAACCTCCAACATAGTAATAGCGACCAATTAATACATATATATAATACAACATCTGATGTCTGAGGAGCTAACCCAGTTAATAGTCACCAGAGTTAAGCAAGCAGGTGTCAAATGCTTCTTCTGCGGTACTGAGTTGGATATCTGGGTCTTGGGCAAACACCTGCCCGTGTGCGCCAAACTGTGTTACAATATCATCATTGATATGTTCCAGACTAAAGAATCACAGGAGGAGACTCACACGAAAAAGCTGCGTATAGAGGAGTTAGAGGGAATCATCAAGTCATTATCGCAACAACAACAACAACAACCACAGCCACAACAACAACAGCAACAACAA